TATGTTTCAACAGCCAAGAAGGTCGGATATCTCCAAAGCTAAAGAACACTTAACTTTCTGAGCATCAGAAAACCCAATAGCTAGGCCAAAATTTATTGATGATTTTTGGGGCTAGTAAGGAAGTGGGAAGAAATACAAAATTATCTTCATAGAAAAAAAGTAATTGCAAATGCAACTTTGACAAAAACTGAATTCATCGATGCCATCTTTAAATTATTTTTATAGAAAAAGATGGATGTGTTTTCGTGAAAAGAAATCGATGAGCATGCTGAAACCTAAATGCCTAAGGGCTTTTTACACAAAGATGAGGTTAGCAACACATCCTCATCCTGTTCTGGTTGGAGCAGTCAGACTCGGTTTAAGTTAACCCTAAGAAAGAAGAGAAACCAAACTAGAGAAACATCCAGTCTGTATATAGGAGTGAGTGAGTGAGTGAGTCAGGTTTAACGTCGCTTTTAACAGTATTCCAGTTATATCAAGGTGTGTCAGCTTAATGTGGGAGGAAAGCTTGAAGTGATGCAGGTCTCAGACGTTTATCACTTCGGTGAAACCCATGAGCACGGGTTTGGTGCTGACAAACCTAGAAACATAATCGGGGCGAACCGGGATTCGAACCCACAATCATAGGTTTCTGGCATGTCAAAGGGATGCAACTCTGCACAGCGAATCACGGCGCCTTAGACGACTGGGCCACCCTACTCCCGTATATAGAAGGGGATGAGTCTTGGAATCAAAAGTTTGAGAAGCTCTAACAGCTACAACCGTAACACCCATACAGTGTGTCATCTCAATGGAAGTTGGTAGTTCCAGCAGCGAATTCCCAGAAAAGTTTAAGATTGTAAAGATTTCGTCTGAATAAACCCAAAGAAACAAATAACACTCAAATCTAGAAGTCGGTTCCGTTTGGCAAAGCGTACCGAGGTTGCAACAGTCTTAGTTGATCTTTTTGCAGTTTCTGTTGGAAAAATTAGTCTTCCTACGTCTACATTATTGATGTCTTGACATTGCCAGCGATTATGTTGGAGACCAGTAGCATAAGGATGATTTCATGATTTCATGATTTCATGAAATAACCTTTTTCAATAACAATCTTCATAAAAATCTTTTGAACATTTAGGATAAGAAATAAATCAATGTCCTAGAAAATGAACTGATCTGAAGCCCTGAGTTACATACTAAATGGTTTCACCGAAGCTGGTACACTTTTTTATCGTATACCCTTTAGTCCAATGACTAAATCAGACCCTTGTCTTTTCTCTACTGTACCCCATTCAGAGTCAGAAAAACATTGCATACCACACCAGCTTTAACTGATTTGAGTGAGTGAGTGAGTTAAATTTTACGCCGATTTTCACAATATTCCAGCAATATCGCGGCAGGGGACACAAGAAATGGGCTTCACACATTATACCCATGTGGGGAATCGAACCCGGCCCTTCAGCACGAGGAGCGAACGCTTTAACCACTTGGCTACCCGACTGCCTCTTTTATTGATTTGAGAGAGAGGAGACACTTCAGTGATTGAGAATACGAGCAACGTCCCATGCCGAAGGTAACAATGCTGACAATAAACAAGTCTCCTGACCCTTCAATTCATTCATCCCCCTTGCGACTAGACCAACATTAGGTTCCAGACTTATAGTTATCTTAATCATACATATATATCTACAACACATAAAACATAATCCAAACGGAGCCCAGAACAAGGCCTAATTTCAGGCCTCAAGCTGAGGCAATCTAGACTTGCCAGATCATTCTCATCTTAATTTAGTCCCTCGGGTCTGGGAGAGAGACTGCCCTCTGACGATCACAGGTTGCTTGGGCCTCTTCTAACCCAGTTGTAAACATTTCGCTGTGCAGAGTTGCGTCCCTTGGGCGTGCCAGAAATCTATGATTGTGGCTTCGAATTCCAGTTCGCCCTGATCATATTTCTAGGTTTGCAAGCACCATACCCATGCTCGAGGATTTCACCAAAGTCGTAAACGCCTAAGACCTGCATCACTTCGGGCTTTCCTCCCACATTAAGCTGACATGCGGTGATATAACTGGAATACTGTTAAAAGCAGCATTAAACCCAAATCACTCACTCCCTCATGCTAACCCTGACCTCCGCAAGGGCTCGGACACTGCACCAGTTTCCGGTATTAAACCCAACTCACTCACTCACTCATGCTAACCCTGACCTCCGCAAGGGCTCGGACACTGCACCAGTTTCCCAGCTATTGTACTAATCCTCCATGACGTGTCAAAGACGCATGTTCGTGAGGTCATTAGAGCGTGGGTGCATGCCCTCATCAATGGAACGGAGGCAGGTATGTTCAAGGATGGAGTTGTTTAGTACTACGATGCATTCATCCAACCACAAGAACCAGGAGTGGCTGCAATACATAAGTATAATCACAAACAATGTTGCAGCGGTGCACATGGCAGCAGCGGTGCGGAGGAGGTGTACAAATCCTCTTACGCAACTTGCACTGCATCCGAATGCATGTAATACCTCACAGAAGCTGATTACCTTGCGTGTGCATTTGGGCCTGTCATGTATGCTACACAAATCAATATCTGAAGACTCAACAGCTTCGCATTTTGTCACATTATTCCGCGAACATCCCTGGGTTAAAACCAAGGAGTGTTGAGTCTCCTGTATCAATTCCAGACATAATCATACAACCACGAAATAAATGAGTGAACTTTTTCAATCAGCACATACATATCTACAGCAAGTGTTGGAAAATTTAGTCTCAATGACTAATAATTTACAAAGATGTCGCTACAGTCTGAGAACAAGGCTAACCTGATTTGTAGAACATACAAGTTGCTCATACAGTGTCAATAGAATTTGTTTTGGTTTAAACCAGTGTTAAATATTTAGGGCATCCTACATACAAATACAATAGGCACACAGCTTAAAGTCCAGGGAGCCTTTAAGTTTGAACACTGGTTACAATACCTACTCCTACATCCTGACTACATTTACCCCTAAAGAGTGAGTGAGTGAGTGAGTGAGTGAGTGAGTGAGTGTTTGAGTGAGAGAGTATGGTTTTACGACACTTTTAGCAAAATTCTAGCATATCACAGCAGGGACACCATAAATGTGCTTCACACATTGTACCCATGTCCGGAATGGAACCCGGGTCGTCGGCATGACGAGCAGACGCTTTAACCACTAGGCTACCCGACCGCCTCTACACCTAAAGAGAGCTTATTGCAACAGAATCACTCGGCACATTAGCAAGCTTCTCTTCCACTAAACCTTTCCCTTCATGCACAGCAGAAGAACTCTATTTCTGGCACCCCAAATCTCACAAAGCCATTCTGTTGCACTACAGAACACATCCCGCCATCGTCAATCACTTCTGGCAGGGTTACACCACGCTAGTGATTTTCAATAAGGACTCCATACTTGGGTGTCTGGTCTCACAGAACCAACATCCGGGATAAATGTTGGGGCTTTCAGAAACTCAGCCCATGTCACGGCACAAAGCAGCGAGTGTAGGGAGCAGAACGGGGATCAAAGGCTACACCGTGTGTACGGGGATACTACAGGCTGTTCTGGCCAAAACGCCTGTGTCCATCGATCTGTTACCACTGTGACTCAACTCTCCAAATGTCAACGTATGTGCATAGCAAATCATCTCCTGAATCACATGCTACAGGAACATTCCATCACACACTCAGCGGACATCAGCAGAACATTCTGACTTATACAACAGAGCTATTGGTATGCCTTTATGTGTATGCATGAGTTAGTTGGGTTTTAGCAATATCAAATGGCGTTTCAGCATGTCAAGGCTGGGGACACCGTAAATGGGGATCACACATTGTAACCACATTGGAAATCAAACCGTTGTGTTTGTTTTTTATTCAATGACGTACTCAGCAGTACTCGAGTCTGGACCAGACAATCCCATGATTGATATTGTGCTTTCCTCCTACATTAAGCTGACACGCCGCGATATAACTGGAATACTGTTAAAAGCAGCGTTAAACCCAACTCACTCACTAACCTGGACTCCCCATAGGGTCCCTCTTTTAATCAGTGCTTATGACAAGTATGAGGCATCAGTGAGTTATTTTACTCAGAATCCAAACTGCTAAGTTCCCTTGGTGAGCCCTCTATCCAAGAAATGAATCAATGCATAATAAATGCACATCTAGACCACAGGGTACCATTATTCTTTTCCCCTAGCACATATTTAACACATATATAGTAACTCTGGATACATATTCAGTCTTTGATCATGCTCTAATTGTGTCTGATAATGGTCTAATTGTGTCTGATCTTCTTTGATCAAGAAGACCCAGATGAACGTGAATCTGGACATCAAACCTGATGTAGTTTAATGAAATAATACTTTTTTGTGTGTTTGGTTAATGGCTATGCATCAGTTAGAAATTCCAGTTTTGTTCGTATCACTGGAAACATCTACTTAAAGTTCTGATAATCCTTGGCAATAATGCCAGACCAAGTAAGCTAAATAATAAAAGGGTCCCATGACTCCAGTTAATGTCTGGATTGGTTTTAACTTCACTTTACTGTTCATTGCAAAAAGACACCGGCCATAAGATCAGACAGGTCTTGGGCATTCAAGAAGGACAAGAAACAGCAGCCTTGTAGTTTCAGGGATTATAGTGGTATGTCGTGACAGCTCCAAGACAAATACATTTTCATGGGTTTTATATGGTCCATATGTCATCGTAAACTGGGGAAAAATGGCTTCCTCTTCGGCAGGGTTTGTAGGCTATGAGGTTTTGTTATACAAAGTCTTATTGTCAGTGGACTTGAGTAAATATTTGCACATCCAGAGAAAGGACATAGAAACAAAAAGAAACCACAACCAACTCTGCATGAAACACTCGAACAAATCTCAGTTTCCAATTGAAATCTCCCCCAACTCGCTGTCAAATGGTTCCTCTACTACAGTGATGGGGAATAATGAGCTTGTCCCTTCGTTTGATGCAGAGTTGACTGTAGGTGACCAAAAGAAAAGAGTACTTACGCAAAGCTGGATCTTTTGGTGGCTTATAAAAAGATAATCCTAATGAAATTATTGCAGCTACAATCAAGATAATGAGGGTGACGTCCTGTAGAGCTTCCCACACCAGGCGCAGGAACGATTTAGGAGCCTTGGGAGGTATAATATTGGATCCAAATATTTTTCTTCTATGTTCTAAGTCTATAGGATTTCCCGACAATCCTGCAATGAAAAACAAGAAAGATGTTAGGACATTTAAAAAAGACATTCATCATGTCTGAAAAGAAACTTCATGGACAAGATTGTTACACAAAACACACCTAGCGGAATTCCATCTAAATACTATCACCACGGACAAGCATCATGGATTCAAGGCTCTAATCTCAGCAGGCTCAGATTCACGTGCCTGGGTTGTATACTCCCCAGGGAGCTGAGAATGATTCTTAAGTGCACAATGATCCAGTGACTGGGGTAATAATAGCGCTTTGAGCATGCCCCTGAGAGGTGTGGAGTGAGTGAGTGAGTGAGTTGGGTTTAACGCCGCTTTTAACAATATTCCAGTTATATCGCGGCGTGTCAGCTTAATGTGGGAGGAAAGCCCGAAGTGATGCAGGTCTCGGACGTTTACCACTTCGGTGAAACCCACGAGCACGGGTATGGTGCTGACAAACCTAGAAACATAATCGAGGCGAACCGGGATTCGAACCCACAATCATAGGTTTCTGGCGTGCCCAAGGGACGCAACTCTGCACAGCTAATCGCTGCGCCTTAGACGACTGGGCCACCGTGCCCCCTGAGAGGTGGGGAAATACACGCAAAATAAATAGCCTATTATTATAAACATGGCAATAACCCATCTACATGACAACAGCCTGTAAAAAGAAGAAGAAGAAAAAAAAAAATCGAGTCTGGACCAGACAATCCAGAGATTGATATTTTGGGCAACATCCCACGCTGTTGGCGTGCGATGCAACGCTATCAACCAATTCACAAGCCTCATCCTTTAAGTCACTTCTTATAGGCTGCTGGGGACCCATTCTAACCCAGAACCTCCACAAGGGATATCAAGTCCAATGACAAGATTGAAGTACTATTACAGCTAAACTGCTAAGGATCCCCATCAGGTAGGGTTGGGGAGGAGTTTTTAGTTCTGGATGAGTGAGTGAGTGTGTGAGTGAATTAGATGACTTTGGTAAGTAGTTCAGTTTTACCTCAGGGTCTCACTACAAAGTGTGTGAGGTGAGGTGAGGTGAGGTGAGGTGAGGTGAAATTGTGTGCATCAATTCATGCCTAGGTGAGGTGAGGTGAAATTGGGTTTAACGTCGCGTCCAAGATTATTGCACTTATATAGCGACGTGCATGCATATGTGTGCTTGTACTAGTCCGGACTGATGCCGATTTATAGTGCTTGCACACTGAGATACCATGCCGCAGTTTAACATGAATACCCCACTCAGACACAGTATACTGACTCCGAGCCGACTAGTCCTTGCTTTAACCCTTTAACCCGAGTAACAACAAGTACCATCTTTTAACGTCTTTTTGTATGGCGCGGCCGGGGATCGAGGGATGTGAGGAAAGACAAAAGATGCATGTCCAGGACATTATCCATTGATCAGCAGATCCTGGTAAGGATAAGGGAAGCAATGTTGCAATGTACATTTGGACACTTAAACTAGAAGTATTCAGGCCTACGTAGAGCCTGTACACACCACCTCGTGACAGCAACCCGCTAGCTCAGCCACATCCCAGCTTAGCTAGCTTGTTTGTTGTTTAATGCCACACTCATCAATATTCTAGCTATATGACGGTAGTCTGTAAATAACTGAGTCTGGGCCTGACAAGCCAGTGATTGATATCATGAGCATCAATCATACCAACTGGGATAAATCATTTACGGACCAAGACAACACGATCACGTCACTGGCCTCTTACGACAAGCAATCAGCTAAGCGTAACAGCTAGCTGTCACCTTACTACAAAACAACGGTTTGTTTCAGATTGGTTCAAATTCAAGGAAAAAATGTAGTGAAGATTTCAAAATTTGACATGACAAAAATTGTGTCCCATCAAATATTGATCAAATCCTGAAAATATCCATTTTCCATTTTCTTTTGCCAATAAACCACTGGCTCATACAAATTTTGTAAACACAAAATACCACCTTTTAAAGGACTAAAAAAAGCCATGATGACACTTTCCAAAGGGTAAACCATGAGCTGAATGTGTTTTCAACCAGGGCCCCACTCCATAAAGTGATCTTAGCGCTAAGTCGATCGTAACTCCTATTCTTTAACACTGACTTACGACAATCGTAGCGCTAAGATCGCTTTGTGGAACAGGGCCCTGGTTCATAAGCACATTCTTATTTTATTTTATTTCACATTCAGAATACCCACAAAAATACCCAACAAAAAGTCCACACAGCAGTTCTTCAATATTATTTATCGATCACATTACACACATAGTTTTAATATATTTGTCGAACAGCAGACTTAGGTAATTTGAGGGCCTTTCAAGGCATATTCAAGATCAAGGACATTTCAAGGCCAAGTTGCCAAATTCGAGGCCATTCAACCTGTTTGAACTTTGTATATACCGATACATTCTGCAGCCATGGCGGAACCCTATCCTCCTATCAGTTTCATAACAGCCATCACTGCCACCCTGCCAACTTTACCTGGTGTTAATTAAAGGGCATTAGAGAGTGCTGGCGTACACCTAGACTTGCACAAGTCTCTAAGGCAATAATTATTTGTTTAAATCCTAATTTCTAGATATTGAAAATAATAAGAACAAGTTGTCCCTGTAAGAGACTGGAGTCCTTTGTACTGTCCACATATCTAGACTTGCCTATTAGGATAGACTTACTACACATCCATGGACTTATCTTTCAGTCCAGCCTTGGAGCGAGGCTAGTTTACACTCAGTGGACCGGTAACTGGCTCAAGAGAGGCTGATATTATCTGTTCTTTTTTTAGCAGTATGTAATACCTAACTGTAGAGTATTGTATATGTTAATTATACACCACTGGTGATAAACTGGGATAAATTATTCACCTATGTGCACCATCAAAATAACCAATGGTGAAATATACCATCGGAAGTCAATCAGGACCACGTAAAGTGAACGAGTCGCCTCAAGACATCTATGTCCTGGCACGTCAATGGCTTCATGATTGATAGGTTTTTCTAAAGAAAACTTTGCTATTATATATACAGAGAAAGGTAGGGAATATCTGAAACGAAACATATGCAGGGATAGAAACTAACATATTTAGTCCACTAGTCCTTATAATGATAACATATAGCAAAACCCTTAAAAATGGCAAATTTTCACTAGTCCTTATGATACCTTTACTATTGGGCAGTTTGGCAAGGACTACAGGACTAGTGCCAATTTCTAACGCTGATATGTTAGTTGTTATGAGAATCCCATTATGACATACTGAATACAAAAACTTAGGAATCATGCATACTTTTGGGGATTTATTTTTAATGAAATTGAGTGCTTAAACTTAACCACACAAAAATATCCTTGAAAATATTATTTTTTTAAATTCAGTATATAAGAATATCACCCCTGTGTCTTTGATATAAAATATATCAACACAAATTGGTAATAACTTAAACCTTCGAGATCTGCCAAGGTTCTACTCATCATCCAAAATTCATCATCCAGCAGCTAATCAGTCTCAGAGGAGTGAGCAATATTCCAGCAATATCACGGCGGGGGACACCAGAAATGGGCTTCACACATTGTACCCATGTCGGGAATCGAACCCGGGTCTTCGGCGTGACGAGCGAACGCTTTAACCACTAGGCTATCCGACCGCCCTAGCCTCAGAGGAAGAGAGAATAGTGATGTCATTTGATTGTCATGTCATGGTATCCAATCATATCACAATGGTCTATGAGCCTTCAACTCAAATAGGACCGTTCTGGTTATGCTATCAGCAGGGGCCATGGGTGGCCCAGTGGTGTAAGTTGTACAACTTGCAATGTGCCAGGATCTGTTTGATCATGGGTTTGAATCTTGAGTTGGCCTGATTGTGATGGTTGCATGGTTTGTCAGCACCATACCCATGCTGAAAGTTTACACTTATGCAGTGTCTGAAACAAGCTTTACTCCCAACAAAACAGGGCTAGCTACTCATAAATGTAACTAGTGCATAATAAAATACATGCTGGAGTAGGTATCAATTATCATTTTTCTCATAAGTCCTTTACTCTATGCTTTTGACTTTTACAGGTTCATAATCCAAAAGATAGCTCTTGCTCTCAGGCGAGTCACACATCAATGTCAGATTCAAAAATTTCTTTTCATCAATGAAATTTCACCTGGCCCGACAAATATGTTGCCAGCCATTGGATAGCAGGCAAGCAGCTATTTCTGACACTGCACTAAACTGGTAAACCCATGGCTGCATCACTTTGAGCTTTCCTCCCACATTAATCTCACATGCTATTACAGTACCACTTTAAACCAAACTTACTCTAAGATCAGCAACAAAAACTATACTATTAATTAGGGTTAGACTTGAGTAAAACTTGCCTGCCTCCCATGTTTCTTTCAAAATGTCCTATCCATCAATCACAGTCTTAGATCGGCGTATTTCAAACAGAACGGTCCCTGTGATATGAACACAGTCCAATCTAAATCTATCCGAAATAACAAGCAGTTTCCTTAAATCCATTATCAAACATATTACGACCATTAGATATTTGCAAGCATATAATTTTTATCTCTTTCCTGAATCCTGAGATTGTTTTCATGGAACCAAAACAAGAAAACCGTGTCATTATCACATCAACCTGACTGTACTTTGAAGACGAAATTAGACTTCAAAAACTACGTAAATGGAGGGGTAACCTTCATTACATTTTATATGAATGTGTCGACACGCACACAAATAATCCAGAGTGATCGCTCATCTCACTACAGAACAGGCCATGTTAAGATAGATCCCAAACTCTGATCTTTGGCTTCAAATGGATTATCCAGACCTTCAACTCAATTCTCGGAAATGGCAGAGGTCACTGGGCATCAACAAGAAACAGTTTTAGTAGAATATCGATCGGAAGGCTAGAAGACAGAAAGTCAGCCTATGAGCTTGGCGGCCAGGTCAGCATGTGAACCTGCTGGCACACCGATTTTGCTGATCAGCTACGCTCGGAACTTCAAGAGGAATAAAGACTGGTTGATAATGACAAAAAGTGCATCGGGAGTATTGATCTGGCAGATGAGAAGAGCTTGCATAGTTTGTTTAGCGCCAGGTGAGAGCCTCACTCCCAGCAGACCTCTGCTAAGTACGGATCTCGCCTCCCCATCACTGTCACAATAGACCTACAACTCTTTTAATGGACATACAACAGGCCATGTGACAGAGGAGCGCTATTTTCAGCCGACAACAAAAGAAGATAAATATACGTTCTTCGCGACTGGCGGCAATCTCTGCGTGTAAGCTGGTCCTGGGAGTGTGGATATTTCAGGTGACAACCTGTGACGGAGACATTCCGTATCGATTGGGAAATGCTTACATATGCTGTACTAGGAAACACCCTGACACCTACCAAACACGTCTTGGATTGTGCCGGTCACATTCTGATTAAACTGACATTAACACATATATTTTGACTCAAGCAACTCTTCCACACCAAACTGCCCCCACTATTGCCTAATCAAGTTAACTGACATTTGCCGATATATTCTAATTCTTATCGCACAGCTCTGATACTTTTCACACCAAACATGAGACTGCCCCTGCCATATTCTAATCAAGTTAACATTCATCACAGCGATGATATTTATTCAGGATATTTTGCTAAGCATCAAAGGAGTATTTTCCTTCACACATGTTTAAGCTACCATTTAACAAGACAGAGTGACAGAGCTTGTTTGCAAGCTAAGTTCTCAATAAAAAGATTCAGTAGAATCAAACTGAACAAACAATAATCAAAGATGGAAAGGATTAACTTCTTAGTTCAACATCCAAGAGAGAATTGTCTACCATGAGAAGAGCTCTAAGACACATATCTTCTGAGTGGCATTTGGGCGGTCGGGTAGCCTAGTGGTTAAAGCGTTAGCTCGTCATGCCCCAGACCCGGGTTCAATTTCCCACATGGGTACAATGTGTGAAGCCCATTTCTGGTGTCCCCAAACTCACTCACTCTGAGTGCCATTAAGAGAGAATGAGTGAGTTACGTTTTACGCTGCTTTTAGCAATATTCCAGCAATATCACGGGGTGGACACCAGAAAAGGGCTTCACACATTTTACCCATGTTGGGAATCGAACCTGGGTCTTCGATGTGACGAGCAAACGCTTTAACCACTAGGCTACCCAACCGCCCTGAGTGGCATTAGGGAGTTTGTGTGATGAACAAGGACAATCTCTTCTGGATCAACAGCCAAAGTGACTTGTTTGATGAAGGTGTTAGATTGTACTCCGAAACATCGCCTCAGCTGTAAGAGTGAGTGAGTGAGTGAGTGAGTGAGTGAGTGAGTGAGTGAGTGAGTGAGTGAGTGAGTGAGTGAGTGAGTGAGTGAGTGAGTTTGGTTTAATGCCTTATCTCAATTTTTTCAAAGTTTTTTGGACCAGGTTTGTTCGTTCCTGTTCGTTCACCTGAACTCACTGAAGGAATACTGTGTGTTTTTTTTAGCATAACACGAGATAAATCTTTTTGTAAACTACGAATCATAAGAACTACTATATTCTAATCTTTTTTCAAACTCTGAAACGTGCAGCATAGACCATGTTAGGTAGGCAGAGGAAGCATGTACTGTTGTGTTGGTCATCTACCCCCTACAACTCCACTTCGACTAAACCGCAGATCGTCCATAACTCTCATCAATTATTTGGACCCCCAAGGTACCGTTGTAGCGAGGGATCACTGTACATGATAAATCACTGCGTTCTTTGAACCATATTAACAACCCTCACATGACCATCAAATCTCAAGGTCATCTAAATCATGTGAAGAGCCCTCGTCAACGTAGTGAGTGAATGTTGTTTTACGCCTAAGTCAGCAGTATTCCAGCTATACCACGGCAGCACCCTAATCAAAATGATTATTCAAAAGCAACACACATCACTGATTCTGTTTACCTTCATTTGGAGACGTATAGAGCTTTCTACACATTTCTGTAACTCCATTGTACTTTGTAAGCATGAGCTCGTATCCCTCTGCTCCGCGATGTTCCATCAACTCACGGAGTTCCTTTAGGGATAGGCCATACTCGGCCGGGCGGCCATCTATAGTATCAGCCGGCGCCGCCATTCTGCCTCACCACTCTACCTCACAATACCTGAAACGAAACACCACACATTAATCAGTAAGTCATATTGCCTTGATAAGCATATTTATGCTGTTCCAGTTAATGAACATTCAGGTCATCTCTGGGCTACTTCCATGAAGCACGTGCGACTGTAATAAACAAAAACTGATGAATATTCATGTGGCAGTGCAATATTTCAGCCACCTGGGGGGGGGGGGGGGGGGGGGGGAAAGAGAGAGAGAGAGGAGGACAACCCTTTAAGGACAAATATGGGGGGGGAGGGGATTGAGAGAGAGCGAGAGAGAGAGAGAGAGGGAGAGAGAGAGAGGGAGAGAGAGAGAGGGAGAGAGAGAGAGAGAGGGAGAGAGAGAGAGAGAGAGAGAGAGAGAGAGAGAGAGAGAGAGAGGGAGAGAGAGAGAGAGAGGGAGAGAGAGAGAGAGAGAGAGAGAGAGAGAGGAGGACAACCCTGTAAGGACAAATATGGGGGGGCAGGGGGGGAATGGAGATACCCTGTAAGGACAAATACATTGGTAGGGATGGGTATTGGAGGCTGTAATGCGATACCTATCACGATATATTGTGATAAGTATGAATTCAGAAGCAATCTGATACATTGAGGAACAAAACAGGATGCTGGTACAACAAAATGTTTACTCGGTCAATAAATACGCAGCCATCTTGGGCCCTGGACGCATGCTGCGTCACAGCGATGGCAATTGACAAGGATATAACATTAAACACATGATAAAAATCGCTATTTATAATCACCCGATATATTGAGAATGAAAAAATGATATTGTGATACGCATCGTGCAAAGAATGAACCTCAATTTACCGATAAACCGGTAATAAAGCACCCCCTTATACATGGGGGACTAAATAATTTCACCTGATTTTATGTGAAATACTTTGAACTTCATGTATCGGAAGAAGTGTCAGTGAAAAAGTGAGTGACATTTATTTCACGCCGTATTATGATTTAAACATAAACATTCAGTGAGAAAAAAATATCAACAAGACTGTTTGACAAGAGGGATGACTACAACAATCATCATGACTTCAGTGAATCTTTCTAAAAGTTTGATGGACATGTGGAGGACATTTCCAAATTTGACGCATCAGTGACAAAAATGTCCGATGCAAGTCCCTATTTTGACTTGTATTCTATGTTCCTGTGTTTCTTCAGGTGAACAACTGACTTGCCTTTGCATGTGTTTGTCATGGTGCCACCGGTGGTGCAGGATACGCTCACCCTTTCTGAACACCTGGTGTCATCACTATTTGATAGTGATTTCTAAAGACATGCTCTTCATACAGTCGGAATCGTACAATCAACTTTCTTTTTATGAATTAAGCAATGAATACTGTCACTTTTATTGAACAGTAGATCAGAAATATCATGGCGTGTCTGCTAATGAGGAAGGAAATCCCAAAATATACACGTCTACGGCTATGATGAATACATAACCTGTCTGGTGACAAAATAGCAAAATAAAACCATCAGGTTCTGAGATGTGTTCAAGAATGTTTCAGGACTATTTCTGGCAATTTTCGTTATAAATAAACATTCACAAAATATAGAGAGGATCTCTATTTTTGTTTCTTGCAGATCCAAACCAGTAAAAGATCAACAGCTAGGGTCACACAGTTCTTTGTTCTCCTTCCCATGGGAGAAGTCCACCGGTGTTACGCAAGAAGTCTAGACTGTCAACACCAGCTGCAGCATCAAAACATACATCATGATCCTGGTCGGAAGTACGTCAAATTGTGCCCCGCCCTCTTGATGTATGTCCAGTGAGTCAAACCCACATGTGGCCTGACTCACATTAGGAGCACGTGAATGTTGTTTTACGCCAGTCTACAATATTCAAGCTATATTACAATGGCCTGTATTTTTTCAAACATACGATGACACCAAGTCTGACCATCAGATTCATTAAGTCTCTTACGAGCGGCACAGGTTGCTGGCGTGGGTGAAGTGGTGTTGGGTGAGGTGGTGTTGGCCGTGGTTTTGGCCGTGGTGGTGTGGGGTGAAGTGGCGTGGGGTGAGGTGGTGTTGGGTGAGGTGGTGTTGGCCGTGGTTTTGGCCGAGGTGGTGTGGGGTGAAGTGGCGTGGGGTGAAGTGGTGTTGGGTGAGGTGGTGTTGGCCGTGGTTTTGGCCGTGGTGGTGTGGGGTGAAGTGGCGTGGGGTGAGGTGGTGTTGGGTGAGGTGGTGTTGGCCGTGGTTTTGGCCGAGGTGGTGTGGGGTGAAGTGGCGTGGGGTGAAGTGGTGTTGGGTGAGGTGGTGTTGGCCGTGGTTTTGGCCGTGGTGGTGTGGGGTGAAGTGGCGTGGGGTGAGGTGGTGTTGGGTGAGGTGGTGTTGGCCGTGGTTTTGGCCGAGGTGGTGTGGGGTGAAGTGGCGTGGGGTGAAGTGGTGTTGGGTGAGGTGGTGTTGGCCGTGGTTTTGGCCGTGGTGGTGTGGGGTGAAGTGGCGTGGGGTGAGGTGGTGTTGGGTGAGGTGGTGTTGGCCGTGATTTTGGCCGAGGTGGTGTGGGGTGAAGTGGCGTGGGGTGAAGTGGTGTTGGGTGAGGTGGTGTTGGCCGTGGTTTTGGCCGTGGTGGTGTGGGGTGAAGTGGTGTGGGGTGAGGTGGTGTTGGGTGAGGTGGTGTTGGCCGTGGTTTTGGCCGAGGTGGTGTGGGGTGAAGTGGCGTGGGGTGAAGTGGTGTTGGGTGAGGTGGTGTTGGCCGTGGTTTTGGCCGAGGTGGTGTGGGGTGAAGTGGCGTGGGGTGAGGTGGTGTGGGGTGAAATGCTGAATGCTGAGGTGGCATTGGGTGAGGTGGTGTGGGGTGAGGTAGTGTTGGCCAATGTGGTGTGGGGTGAGGGGGCGTGGGGTGAGGTGGTGTTGGCCGATGTGGTGTGGGGTGAGGGGGCGTGGGGTGAGGTTGTATTGGCTGAGGTTGTATTGGCTGAGGTGGTGTGGGGTGAGGTGGTGTGGGGTGAGGTAGTGTTGGCCGAGGTGGCCTTGGGTGAGGTGGTGTGGGGTGAGGTGGTGTCAGGTGAGGTAGTGTTGGCCGATGTGGTGTGGGGTGAGGGGGCATGGTGTGAGGTGGTGTTGGCCGAGGTGGCGTGGGGTGAGGTGGCGTGGGGTGAGGTGGCTTGGGGTGAGGTGGCATGGGGTGAGGTGGTGTACACCGTGGTGGTGGGGACCGAAGTGGTGTACACCATGGTAGTGGGGGCCGAGGTGGTGTGGGGTGAGGTGGCGTGGGGTGAGGTGGTGTACACCGTGGTGGTGGGGGCCGAGCTGGTATGGGGTGAGGTGGCGTGGGGTGAGGTGGTGTGGGGTGAGGTGGTGTGGGGTGAGGTGGTGTGGGGTGAGCTGGTGTGGGGTGAGGTGGCGTGGGGTGAGGTGGTGTGGGGTGAGGTGGTGTGGGGTGAGGTGGCGTGGGGTGAGGTGGTGTCACCATAGTGTTGGGGGCCAAGCTGGTGTGGGGTGAGGTTGGGTTTCACATCTGGAATGTATGTTCTCTTGATAGACACATCAGGCAACTGAATTTCTTAAAGGTCTACAAAAGCGGAAAGATAGAAACATTAGCTGATAAGGACTTCATTACAACTATTAAGTCGCTTGTTAACATAATGGAATACTCATTACACTCAATCTCCAGTACTTCAAATACATTTCTGTTTGTCATTATTACCAAATAACTCAAGTAGTCCGTGATTTTATACTTCCCCATTTAGAGGCATACTACAATTACTGACGATGACAGCTGAAATTACGTCATCTGTATCACTTAGGGAACCTGCCGAAACAAATTAGGATTACATCACTCATTGATGCAATGAGTTTGTGAGTACATTGTTCAACATTGTTCAACATTGTTCTTAGCAGTATTCAATCTTATATAGCAGGGTTTTAAAATGACAAGCACTTACTCCAACCACAAGGCTACTGCCAAAATCTACCTATGTACAATGTAACCAAACCAGAACACAAAATATTAAAGTTGGTTATTTCTTGTATTATAATAAATAGTCCATACAGAGTTCCAGTCACCAAATTTAAGGGTTTTTTTAGGCAGCGTCCGGATTTTCAGGGCAAAAATAATCACTAAAAGAATCATAAAGGGAAACTGTCAACAGTTACGTGGACACAATAACTCCTTTCAAATGTAACAAGATTACTTTGTTTGTTGTTTAACACCGCGATCAGCAATATTCCAGCTATATGACGGCGGTCTGGAAATAATCGAGTCTGGACCAGACAATCCAGTGATTGACATCATGAGCATTGATCCATCCATCAACCAAATCAGTGAGTCCGACCAGCTGATCCCATGAGTCGCCTCTTACGACAAGCATAGTCGCCTTCGGCAAGCATGGGTTGCTGAAGACCTATTCTAACCCGGATCTTCACGGGTCTCAAATGTTTAATGTACCAACAGATGTGATGTGGTTCTCCTGTGTGTTGATGTGTGGAACTAGCTGGTGTGAATTACCATGATCCTGATGTCGCCTCTCAAGGCAAGCATGGGTTAGCATATAACAAATACTAACATTACACACCTAATAAGACAAATGATACTTCTCTGAAACCCAGTCCGATAAAAAAAAAAATACATCAATAAATTTAGTCAATAGAGCACAATGATTTGAAGCGACATGAGATCAAATCTGTCCTACATAATATCAGTATTTCAACATTCACCAAACAGATGAGCCACATCAATTATGGTACAATTTTCTATGAGATCAGAGAATTAATAATACCTTATTGTCAAACAGGCACTCTACATCTTCTTTAATGTTTGGAAATACAAACCGTGAAGACTTCGATTCGAGAGTATTAGAAGTATATATCCCATCACTTATCGTAAATCAGTTTCCCTTTAGATGGGAACTGATCACGCACACAGCTGCCCCTACACAATACCGATCACATCTGAAAACAGACACATCCATACTTACCCCGAATGAACTCCAATACCAATGAAAAAGCCACAGTGGTCAAACAAATCCATGGGAGATCACAACAGTTTGTTGGAGACAGATACCATAGCGACCACACCTCAACAAACACTCCAGCAAGATATGAAAGTCGCTTATCTGCTATGCGTCTTCATTCAACCACCCACATCCTTCCTCTGATCAGCTCAATGACAAACTACACTCCACTTTAATTGGTGCAAATTCAAACACTTCCACTTGTTTATCGGGGCAGGAGGTAACACCATTATAAACATATCAGTAAGGATCTAGCCCTCATCAGTCCAAGTCATATGCGATGATGTCAGGGTTATTAATCACGAAGCTGCCATGCACTGTCTCCTAAGCTCCTTCCTTGCCTCGAGCAAGGGAATGACGACTCGTCTAGCACCCATATGAGGAAAGTGGGCAGTATTCATGACATCTATGTCCCATATCCTCAGGCAGTCCATCCTTGAAATGACAATTGTGATACCGTATTTTCTTGAGTATAGTGCGCACCCATGTATAATGCGCACCCCCCTCTAGCGGATTCAATATTTTTGAAAAAAAATAATCTGAATACCAAGTACAGAAAAATTACAATTACACCGTACCCCTTTAGCGAAGTCCGGCTAACGAACGGGTGATGAGAAACTTGGTCAGTACAAATTTGAAATTTGAGATAAAAAATCACCAAACATGTTGATTTACTGTTTAAATTGTTTTTTTTTGTTCTGCTACGCATTGTTTTATATCCAGGGATTAAGATTATCTTGTGTATTTTCTCATTGCACACACGTTTTCTTGGAATCTACCAGTCAAGATACGCCCAGTGATATAACTTTACAGGATTTTAATGCAAGGATCGGCAAAAAATGTATCTGAAACTATTTTTTTATCAGGAATAATATATTACTTTTTAACCTGTTTTTTTTGCAATCAAATGAACACGCCTGCATCAAAAGCCTTTATTCTGAATAAAACTGTTAATTTATCTTCATGTCAAACATGCTATCACTGATGGATCTGTTCACATCAAAACACCTGGCTGAACAATATGATTTAACCTGATTATGTCACGAGATACATCTTGAAAGCCGTAATCTCCATGGACTAGTTTTTCTGCAGAAGGCCATTCTATCCAGAACAAGAAGATTTAATAATCATGTTTTCGTCTTGGTTATGTTTTTCAAAGCATTTCTCCAATACAATTACCTACTCCAAGACTATTCATTGTTTGCTGCCTATAAAACAATGTAGCAATCAGAAACTGTCAATAATTACATACATTTTTTAAGCAAACTCCCCTAACAAGCGGAAATCATTACAAATGGCAGCTAGGAACTGCTCAGAATCTTACAATCGTGTTAAGGTGAGGTGAGGTGAAATGGGGTGTCCAAGATTATTGCACTTATATAGCGATGTGCATGCACGTGTGTGTGTGTGTGTGTGTGTGTGTGTGTTGCTGCTTGTACTAGTCCGGACTGATGCCGATTTATAGTGCTAGCTCACTGAGATACCATGCGGCAGTTTAACATGAATACCCCACTCAGACACAGTATACTGACTCCGAGCCGACCAGTCCTTGTTTCAGCCCCTTCATGGCGAGCGCCAGACAGGGTAACAACAAGTACCATCTTTTAACGTCTTTTGGTATGACGCGGCTGGGGATCCGGGCGGACGCTCTACCATTAGACCATGGAGGCGGTCCAATCGTGTTAAGACAATCTGAGGCTAATATATGACAAGGTTCTGGGAATTGGAGTGCACAATTCTTCAACATGTGGACAATCATCATTAAACCATGTCATAATCACCAGATGGGCGAAGGCCAAATCAATCCACCTTTACATCCAGAAAGTGTGGAGCGGGAAAGTATGGAGCGGGGAAAGTGTAAGAAGATCCTCCTTGAATTGACTGCCCCCACACATCCCCGATGACCTCACCACCTGGGAGGATTACACATAGCCTGAAGCCATGGCCGATGACAGGCAGCAAGCAGGGCCGTATGTTCGCCAGTCAGCACCTTGGAGAGAAAGGCCTAATGATTCGCTCATGATCAGGTTTGATGTCCGCGGGTGTCAGGTGTAACGATTGATCACCTTGGCCTGATGGCTAGTCTCACTAGCCGTTTATCACTCAGACATGCCACCACCTACGACACTGTCAGCTCTTAGCAAAGCACGGGCTTAATTAAATGCCATCACTGATTTGAATTCATTATTCATAGAAATGAAGCAATAAGTTTGGTCTAGCTCAAAGAATGAAGAAATAACTTCACAAATTCACAAATTAATCTGATTTTTAGACTCTTACAATGAGAGCTTTTTCAATTGCTATCAATCCGTTATTTGAGAACAACTTTTTTATTTCAACTGGGACAAAGTTGACACATGAAATTATCAAAGCAATAGGTTTTTTTAAGATTTCATCACTTTGAACACCAATTCAGCAAGATCGTGCCAAGCAAAAACACATCAGGAAGAAAAAAGGGAAAGAAAAAGAAGTCTTTCAATACTTCACGGAGGCTCTACATAATTATATATTAAACGTAAACTCCAGAGAATAATTAGTTTCAATAATCTGCCACACCCGATTCCATTGGGAGAAAAATATCCTGTGTAATGCCAGCCCATGGTGTCCTGTGTAATGCCAGCCCTTGGTGTCCTGTGTAATGCCAACCCATGGTGTCCTGTGTTATGCCAGCCCATGGTGTCCTGTGTAATGCCAGCCCATGGTGTCCAGTGTAATGCCAGCCCTTGATGTCCTGTGTAATGCCAGCCCATGGTGTCCTGTGTAATGCCAGCCCATGGTGTCCTGTGTAATGTCCTGTGTAATGCCAGCCCTAGGTGTCCTGTGTAATGCCAGCCCTTGATGTCCTGTGTAATGCCAGCCCATGGTGTCCTGTGTAATGCCAGCCCATGGTGTCCTGTGTAATGTCCTGTGTAATGCCAGCCCATAGTGTCCTGTGTAATGCCAGCCCTAGGCGTCCTGTGTAATGCCAGCCCTAGGTGTCCAGTGTAATGCCAGCCCTAGGTGTCCTGTGTAATGCCAGCCCTTGATGTCCTGTGTAATGCCAGCCCTAGGTGTCCTGTGTAATGCCAGCCCTAGGTGTCCTGTGTAATGCCAACCCATGATGTCCTGTGTAATGCCAGCCCTTGGTGTCCTGTGTAATGCCAGCCCTTGATGTCCTGTGTAATGCCAACCCTAGGTGTCCTGTGTAATGCCAGCCCATGGTGTCCTGTGTAATGCCAGCC